TAAAATTTGAATCTGGTGCTTTGTGTAATATCAGCTAAGGATTCACGATATTTTCTAGAGCCCAGTTGGTCTATAAACATTCTAATATCATAGTCATTAGATTAACGAATTATTTAAAAAAAAAAAAAAAAAAAGGTTCATTGAGATAGTACCCGTATATCAGTGTGTTCGGATACTAGTTTATAATGCATCTTTTGGCCCCTCATTAGAATCCATTCATCATGTATTTAGCATTTCTAATACAAATATCAACTGAATATATCACTTAAGTAACTACAAATCTCGCATTTCAGACGCACGATGGAAGCATCCTGGAATATCTCTATAGATATTTTGACAGCGTTCAACTTTTGGTTTCACAGATGTGTGTTACCTGTATAGTGGCGGTCGACACTGAGTCAGAACTGGGCATTTCACCAATTTTAATGTCTGGGAAACGGAGCTTATATCGATATTGTTTGTAGAGTATGAAGTGTTTTATATAACTAATCATAACAAATCGTTCATGGTACACATTAAATCATTTTATGATAATATATAATCAGGATATGATCTCTACTTCCATTGTGGTAGGACGTACAATTTTATAAAACCAAATCAAAGTGGATATGATCAACGGCCCGCCATTTTGTTTTTCAATTTCTACTTTCCCCTTAGCTTGACAACAACCGCTAGCGGTCTGGCTTGTGAGATGGACCCGTCCAGTCTCTCGAATTGTTCAAACATTGTAGAATATATCCAACCTGTCCCCACCCCTCCTCGGTTAACGTGGGTAAGTTTTAACTTATATTTGGACTTAACGGTGCCTGTATTCCAGCAGGATCTCGCAACATGGGTATGTCTTTACCCTTATACCCATAGTCAAAGATCTATACTCAAGGAAATGCAAGTATCCCTTCCCTCCAATTAGTGGGTTAATGTTATAAAGTCGCTTTCGAGCTTGAGGATTACTTCTACAGAGTATTGATGTTCACTAATTTTCCTTTTGCATTGTTTTACGACATGTCAGACAAGCAAACCATCCTAAGCCGATAAAAATGTAGAGTGGTGGTTTCAAAATTTTTTACAGGGCCTTTTCATTTAAACGTGACATTACAGTAACACTAGCATGAAATGTGTCCTGGTCCATTACACTGGCAGTGACTCTGTCAAGTGTCTTTGAACATACCATGCAGTAGTTGTTTTATATTGCCTGACGTCGTATCAACATCTGAATGGGAAAGCAAGGGCACGATTTTTCAAAATCAACAGCTTACCTTGATTTTTTTCTACAGCGAAATCAACAGGGAGAGCTTTTACCAAACTGTCACGGAAAGCAACATCCCTCAATTCCCAACCTATGGTATCACAATTCATTCGAACTTTCAGGGTTTGGTCTCATTGTCACGCTTTTCCTACAATATGTCGGCAGTTACAAACTCACATTACATTAGTTTCGCAAGATGTAGTTTGATGGAAATGGTGAGGAAATGTTAAGGTCGTTATCAATATCACTGAGAACTTTTTCATTCCCTTACACGATGTGAAGTTGGAAGTGCTTGATCCTCGTTTGCTAGTGCCACCGTTGTTTAACGTGTTATTTTGACGTGAGTCGTCGGTTAGACAGAAGATCCGTACTCATCCAGTACTCCTAATCTTATTGTCCGTTTGCTTTCACTTTATTTCCGTGTAAATCTATTTTTTGTTTCTAGTTGTATTGGATTATGATTCTGTTGATATGTTGGTAAATTCCAGCTGTTCTGTTGTAAGATAGGTGTCTGAATGTATGCCTTGGTAACCTTCGGTTTTACTTGTCGGTGTGAAGTCCTTTCGGTATTGATTATTGCAGCATGTTAACTACAATCCAGATAAGCATGACCTTCAGGGTCATAGGTTAATTTCATCCCAAATAAATAAAGCGTTGTGTCCAACAATATCGGGGGCGTTGGAGAGGAATCTGTTATATGTACACCTTTCTCCCACTTCTAGGTTTTCACTGATAACGGCGACCTGACATCTTTGGATACAGTCTCTTAAAAGCGGTTTCATTTTGTTAATCTTTAATTTGACATAATCATAAAAATGTTTTGTCATCCAGAATTTTTTTTCGCTAAATGCCCTTCACTTATGAGATGCTGTTGCATGGCAATTGCCAGATCATAGATTTGTGTCTGTACCTGTCACAAGATGGATTTTCGACTTCAACTTGTACAAACACACGCATTTGAAAACGACGTTCATCAAGCTGCCGGATGGACTCTAATCACTTTGGGTGCTGGTGACATTGTAATTGAAGATGGACGGTCAATAACTGACACCATGTTATCCTGTGAGGCTATCTCAAGTCTTGATGGTTCCGGGGCTGACGTGAAATCTAACACTATTGAATGAGGCACATCCACCATGTAGGAGCTCTGTTCCGGTCGTCTCTCATTTGTAATAAGGAATGAAGCCAGTAGTTGTTTCTTTAAATATTCAATCCTTCCAGACAAGGATTTATTCCACCAACAGAAAATTAGTATCATAGAAAGTCGACATTCAGTGAACCGTAACGTATACAACAATGGGTTAATTATGCTCGTGCTACATATTATTATGGCAGAAATCTCTCTGAACCGTTTCAGAAAATCTGTGAGACCAAATCGTGCGGTCCATAGTACATAGAATATACTGAGAGGCACGAGTATCATTTGATATATGCATATTATGAGTAAAAGTTTTAACGTATTTCGAAACTCTCCTCTGACTGCAGGCATTGTTCTCCGTATTGTACGTATCTTCAACATGGTACCAAAAGAGAATAAAAGTGTTAGAAATCGAACAAACAGCTCACACCAAGCAAATGCTGTCTCCCGACGTGTGTTCTGTATGTGAGTAAAATCTAAGTCGCCGGCACGAATATAAGTCAGAATGGGGACGGTGATCCACACTGTTACGTACATCGCTCGAACCCGTTTCTTCGTAACGTAAATCATGTATGAAGTTTCAAAATAAAGACATATGCATCGGTCTACAGATAAAAGGAATATCACAGTGGAGGATAACGAAAAGCTGAGAAGCGTTAAAACTTGCACACTGTAGCAAAGAGGATAGCTAGAGTCTATAATACTTACAGCTAATAATATCGGTATCCCACTTATAAAATCACTGACACACAGAGTCATCAGCGGCACTCTTACCCGTTCATTGATCGACTTCGACAGTGCCATTGCGATAAAAACAGTAACATTGAGGCATAAAATTATGACTCCAGTTAATGAATATAATATCGGATGAGGGGCAAGTTGCGCGAAACACATACCTGATGAATTTGCTGTTGTGTTCATGGTGGCTGTTAAAGATTAACTGGTCTGATGGCAAATGACGTGTCCTTTTCATGATTTCCGTTGCCTGTAATCCGCTGTAAGCCATCCTACTTTCGTCAATGACGTGAATATAAAATTGGTTTCAATTTTCTATGGACTTTGCTTAACAGAGCTACTTATACTCAGTTCGTGCACATATCATTTGGTGGATTAACACTAGCCATGAAATCAACGAAAATAACAGCTATAATGATTTTACAGCGGAAGTGTATATACCGATTGCCACTGTTCCAATCGATTTGGTTAGTTTTGTTTGTTTTCACTACCTTGCGTTTAGAACACGCCCCATTTCATTAGCTCTCTATTTCCTGCCATTAGGCGCGTTACTACATCTATATTGGATGCATGTTAGGAGACGTGACTGTCAGGAAGTGAAAACTGACAAAATTACAAATTGCTTAGTAACTGTGGGTTTTAATCTCAACAGGAATTTGCTAACCAATGATGACTTTGTTGTTGAAGATGACGGATGGAAGGATACGGGGAGCTTGTTTTCCTCTTTTCATATTCTATATTGTGTGTGTGTGTGTGTGTGTGTGTGTGTGTGTGTGTGTGTGTGTGTGAAGGAGGGTAGGGGTGGGGGCGAATACGTTTTACCTGTATGACCAAGAAATTCTTCATTTCTACCAACTTCATTATCAGTACCCCTGCCCAGTGAAAAACTAAAATTAGAAATCATTTAAGTGTATCAATACATTTGACCCCTATATCCTTCAATGTCGGTTCAGTTTCATACAAGCAGCACTGGCCTTGGAAAGAATCCCGCGCTAAAAAGTAAATGTTGCAAATCTGCATTAAAAGTTTTTAAAAAATGCTTCAATTGAAATCATGAACCCATGACAATATGTTTTCTGACTGTCAGTCGAATATGAATTTCCCCGCAATATTGTCATCATCGGATAATGAGCACAAACGTTTGCACGATTAAATAAAAGAGTGGAAGTCCAAAGAACACGGAAAATTAAGTTCAAAGAACCATTGCACTTTGAAATAAGTAAATAGAACTGGAACATAAGTTGATCTGTAACTGGTTACCATAGAGCACAAGAAAAATATTAAGATGGAAAAGGGAAGCCATAATATAAACACAACATAAATAGCACTCCTGTAGTCCAGACAAAAACAACCATCAATCAAAAAACGAAATATTACTTTGAAATTTAAGGCAGCGTTTCTCGTTCATCATTCCATATTTGAAATGCAACATTTTTAAGCAGTTTGTCAATATAAGTTGCATATTATTTCAACAACGTTGATATATGCTTAAAAGAGATGAAATCCATTGCTGGAATACGGCCTAGAAGCATACAATATGTTATTATATTTTACGCACTTATTATGAGGTATGCTTCCTCTCTTGTCAATGCGAAAGCAACACAAAGAGACTTTAACTCTTCCCGGGCACTCGGGGACATATACAATGGTGCTGATGCATTCATTTTTACAAGGTTGCTGAATATCAGGTAAACTTCTACCCTAATTGAAATAAAGGTAATTCATAACTTGTAAATTTAGGCCATGAATAAAGCTGAAACGAACTACTTCTAATATTGCAGACCGTGTGCAAACCGTAATGATTGACCCATTGTGAAATAAAAGATAATGTTATCATTGATCACAAGATCATATTTATTGCATTAAATTAATGACAATATTTCACCCAAGAACAGCAGCAGCTCCGTATGACGACATCACTTGATAAATCCATGTAAGGTAGGATTGGACACGGGTGTAAACTCCAGGGGTGTACGCCTGTGCACACGAATAACCCCAGGAAACTATACCAACCACGTTCCATTTACCATTTTTTAGACAGACTAATGGTCCACCGGAATCACCCTGACAAAGAGCAATAGTTATTGATAACAATGGAAAAAAATATTAGAAAGCTTACTGGTTAATTAAGGTAAGTAGTAGCATGTCCCTTATTAGAACAAGTAAACTGGCTACCAGTCCCTAAGTTACTGAAAGACATTTCTGCAATTGTCTACTTGGCTCCCTTTCCTGCAAAACCAGAATCAGAACTTCAAGACATACAAGAGAGAAAATACTATTTCTATACCAGTAATGTGATGTATAGCAAATTGCACTCTGCATAGCTTTATACCATGTCCCGAAAGCTAATGTACATTTTCATCAGTGAATATGCTGCCCCAATACATCAACATGAAGCTTGAACAAGACGAAAATGACAGTAACGTATTTAGTTCTCGCGTCAGGTTACAAACGTACATTGATATGACGTCATAAATTCACAACTTCACCTAAAGTTGAATATCTCTGTTACACAGAAATGCACAACAAGTACAAAATATGTCCTATACAGACCTGACAGCTGTCGACCCCTCCGTGTTTCTGCCCAGCACATATCTCTGTTTCTGGGATCGTTCTGTCCATCAGATAGGAACAAACCTGGTTAGATATCAACGGAAGATCTGCTTTGTATAGCGCATGCGTACCGTGACCTCCTGAAAACAGATTTATCTGGATATTTAGTTGACTATCACAAAGACAATAAATATATATGTACCAAATAGAAGGTCACTAAGATTCACCGCATTTTATTTTTGTGTAAATGTTCAAGTAAATCTGCTCTGGGGTCGTTTTGTGTATTTATGGCATAACAAACATATGCTTTGAGTTCAAATATTTTGTTTGGCATTGTCTTCGGATGCGAAATGTTAAAAAAATGAAAAAACAATAATGATTTTTTTTTTTTGAAAATATATAAACAAGTCGACGATAAAGCACAAGACGCTTATACTCTCGAAACACCTGGTCGTATTATCCTTGTCATTTTTACCGGAACACTTTATCTTATTTTTCTTGAATTTTTTAGGAGTATTTTTTCTTTTATTCACATTTTGCTGTGATTTAAATAACGTAGGATTACATTTTCTAAAGGTAATTTAACTGGCTCGATTTCAGGTTCTGTCCCAAGACAAGACAAAACAGTCAAAACAGTGGTTACTGCTCCTTGTTGAGAAGCTGTACGATTATGGTCGTGTCAGTATATTGTGACCGGTTGGATGTTGGCTGCATACTTTAGTGATGTAATACAGAAAAGTCGATTGCAGTTCACAAGGACATCTGCATGAAACATACCCAAATATATCACAGCGAACGAACCCAGCTTGTATACGCCCTGATACCTTTCTTTGATGACCAAAGCTGTTGATGGGACGTTTTACAATTTAAAATCAAGCGTTATCTTGAGAATTGAGTTTGTTGCAGTTTACCACAATAGATATGCTTCCCGCATTGCAACCAAAGGGATTTTGATTTCTTTCTTTCTTGACTGTGTACTGTTTTTCTGTACCTTTTCTATCATATATGCATCGCCAGAAACCTGTCCTTATATGACTCTGACTTTATTTAATCTTTCTAATCAAGGTGACGCCCCATCATGCTTACTTTGATAAAGCCTAAACGTCTATTTTAGACCCTCTGCATCACTGACGAGTTCCTGTGGGCGAAACAGCTGTATGTTACAGTTTACATGCATTGCTTGGCTATACATGAAAAGGTGTTATTCACGTTTGTGTCATTTGTACAATCTTGTTAATAATGCTAATCAAATATCTACTTTAATTTTGTCTAATTTAATCCTACCGTTATATGCAGCACCCCAGCCAGTAATGGTGCAGATCATGTTGTCGAAGGTGGTGTTAATGCCAGGTAGACACACTGACCGGACATACTGTCCATCGATGTTGATTCTGTCACCTAGTTTCACAATGGCAATATCATTAGTGAACGATGTTTCGTCAAACTGGGAATGAATGAAAAGTGTTTCAACCCTTTCCAGTTTTTCGTATCCTTCTAGAAAAGCTCGGTCGTGTTCTCCTAGCACAACTGTCCAGGCAAAAGGATTCTTGTTTCTATAAAGATTGAATAAACAATTACGAGCAATAAAAAGGGTGAAACATAGAAAAAGCACACGAACCACTGTTTATTAATAATGCCATGTACAATCATCTTTTCTTGTAAGAATTCAGTCAATGATGACACCAATCATTTCCGGTTCAGAAGGTCAAGGACCTATGCAATCGGTCACCCATGACATCTACAAATACACTTTGTGCACAACTAACGAGCAGCAATACAGTAAATGAAGTTACTTTAAGTTATTAATTTTATGAGGTTCCAAATGAACTTACTCGCGGAAGCAGTGAGCAGCCGTAAGCACCCATTGGTCAGCAATCAAAATCCCTCCGCACACGTGCTGGCCATGTGACTGCATAGACACCTGAGGATGAATTTAATGCAAATATTAGCATACTAAAAATGTGGAGACGATACGCTACATGTTTCAGTGTATTTCTGTAATCAGCGTTTTCAGGTCGATAACCATAATTCCACTAGTAATGAGAAATCCTAGCGATCAACGCTGTGTATAACTTTAAATGAAGGAAGTACTGTCAACTGATAACAAGGTAATTTCAAAGTCTACTCCTCCCATAGATGAATGAAATAACCACAGAGACACAGTCGAAGTAATAGAATAGAGTACCTGCCAGGGAAATTCCCCTACAGCTGCCGGAGTTCCGCCCACGATCCTGTTGGTTCCTCCGTTTGTTTGTATGCCACACTCACCTACGTATAAACCATCTTCAATATGTAAGTTCTTTTTCCCAAATGTATTGTGTTTATCTGTAATATTGTTGAAATATTGTACTGGTTGTACACGGTTGTAAGGTAACCTGACTGTGTTGATTGTTATGGAACACGACAGGATAACTGACTACTGATTGTGATGACACACGACTGGGAGGTTATCCGTCTGTACTAATTGTGATGGTACACGACTGGGAGGTTATCCGTCTGTACTAATTGTAATGGTACACGACTGGGAGGTTATCCGTCTGTACTGATTGTAATGGTACACGACTGGGAGGTTATCCGTCTGTACTGATTGTGATGGCGTACTACTGGGAGGTTACCTGTCTGTACTAATTGTGATGGTTCACTACTGGGAGGTTTCCTGTCTGTACTAATTGTGATGGTACACGACTGGGAGGTTACCTTGCTGTATTGTTTGTGATTGAACACGATGGGGAGGTTACCTTGCTGTACTAATTGTGATGGTACACTACTGGGAGGTTACCTGTCTGTACTAATTGTGATGGTACACTACAGGGAGGTTACCTGTCTGTACTAATTGTGATGGTACACTAAAGGGAGGTTACCTGTCTGTACTAATTGTGATGGTACACTACTGGGAGGTTACCTGTCTGTACTAATTATGATAGTACACGACTGGGAGGTTACCTGTCTGTATTATTGTGATGGTACACTACTGGGAGGTTACCTGGCTGTATTGTTTGTGTTGGTACACGACTGGGAGGTTACCAGGCTGTATTATTTGTGTTGGTACACGACTGGGAGGTTACCTGGCTGTATTGTTTGTGTTGGTACACGGCTTGGAGGTATACAGCAGATCTCCTCGCTCCCACTACAGCCTGTTGTAGAGTAGTAGTGCCCAGACATACATCTATTGAAATATTTGTTAACACATGATCCTCCATACTGACTGGAACATACTGCAAAACACATGATTATGAAATGTAAAATTTTCACCACATTTAACCATTCTTTACGTCCGTGGGGAACAAAGAATGCGCTTGCATGATTTATGACAAATTCGCCCGAATAAACTTAAAAAAATATCTGAAGGTGAATAAAAAGTGCTAAAATGAATTATTTTATTCCAGCACGAAAAACAGAAATTCCTGAAGTAACTTTTTCATTTGATAATCTATTTTATTTACTACAAACAGTATAAGATGACCACTAGTTCGACTTTTTCTGACATAACTAAGACGCGAATGTTTCATTTGACAATTCATATTTTTTACTGCAATGCGTTACTTAAGACACGAATGATATATTATAAGCAGTCGCACATCGCCTCCATCCTCAGTAATTGAAAAACTGTTGTTAGATTGACAAATTCCAAACTTTAATAACTAATCTTTGAAAATAATCTCATGTTGTTTTTGGTTTCACATTTCACATTTTCATCTCATTTCGATACCTGCTTTATATTTGTTTTATCAGATTCTGAAAATATAATATTCTAGATAAGTATTCTTTGTTAAAAGTTAACGTGTTTTATCTTCTTATGTACACTTACGATCGGTTGCCTTCGAAACAGATAATCCAAGAAGAATAACAATCAGTTGCAAGGAAGACATTTCGAGTCAAACAGGAATTTATAAACGATCAGGTGTTGGTCTTATCAGCTATCTACTTACTACAATGAAATACTTAGTCAACTCTTACCTCTAGATGTCCAGCGTTCTTATCAGCAGATCATGTTGTGAACTTTTCAGTCATCTCTGACCATATATATCTAGTGACCATACCACTGTCATTATAACACCTTGGAAACTCTCACTCCTGTCCGTTGCCTCTCTAGAACAAGCTGAAATTAGTGATAAGAACAATTTAGGAACTTTGGTGGTTATTGTTTCATGGTTATATCTAAATACTCCATATTTAGCGCCATTATCTCTCTCGTATGGGGACATTAGTCTAAAGTGACATCCTGAGGGGACAATAAAGCTCAGATAAAGCAAACAGGAAAAAAAGAAGAAATTGCACAGGAGGCAACATATCTAGTTAGATCTCTTCGATGTTCATTGTTAGGACCATAGAAACATAAAAATTATTTCCGCCTATAACATTAATGATTGTCAGCGATTTATTTGCTCACCTAGTTTTACCGTGTAAACTGCTTCTGTCGTGGAGTATTTCGCTGAAGAGACTGTTCCTTGGACAGATTTGCCTTTATTTATACTGAAAACTTCAAGCAAATATGAAAAGGTGAACTTGAAGATACGTGGATCTTCTACCACTCTTGTTTCTTCTCTCCACTCTAAATGTCCCTCTTGTCACCAGTCCCTTTGACTGTCCTGAAGACGTTTAAAATTGAAAAGAACGATTTATCATCAAAATCTTAATTCCAAATCGAATTTGGTGAAACATTGTCAAGATATGAACAAAAAGAGAATTACTGAGGGACTCTTGAAACAAGTACAAAGAGAAGACGTCCAGTTGTTCCGCAAGAGTAAGAGTCTTGTACATATACATATACATCTTGGTCAAAAATGTAATGTCACGCTCTCAAATGACAAGGCAAAGAACAGGGGAACAATCATGTATACAAACGAGCATCTAACACGTCGGTCTTCATAGTGCTATCACACAGAAAAGCAGTAATCTGGACACGTAAGAATGACAATCTATTCTGACACACATGTAAGCAGTACTGTTGTGTTCCGTTTAGTGCTGAGAGGTAACACCAAATACCATATAAATGGATTTGATATCATATATGATTTGATATTAAATAAGTGCCAGAGTAACACTCAATATCAGTAGACTTCATGTTGAAATCATGATGCTAGGCTTTTCGGTTCGAGTCTTTTGGAAAAAAGACATTAAAACAAGAGGCCCAAGGGGCCTTAACGGTCACCTGAGGAATATATGTCAATAATCTGGGGATTTTAAAATGTTGCAAAAATGTAACAACACTTATCCAGGACCAAGTGTAAAATATCTGTACCAAGTTTGAACATGACCAACCCAATGGTTCTTGAGAGGAAGTCCATAATGTCTTAGCCAAACAGAGGCCAGGGTGGCCATCTTGGATTTTGAATCGCCCAAAAAATTAAAACACTTGCCACGACCTTGTGTAGAACATTCGTATCAAGTTTCCCCTCCCCCCTCCTGGGATCCCTATTGGGGACATGTTCTTTTTCTTCGTAAACTTGAAGCGGCTTCCCATGGGGATGCTTTGTGCCTAGTTTGGTCACAATCCATCTACTGGTTCTTGAGAAGTAGTCATTTAATGAAGGTTTATACATATGGCCCCTTTTACACCCCTTATAGGCCCCAAAGGGGACATTGTCACTTTTTTCAACATAATTTCATATGTCCTTCGCTAAAGGATGCTGTCTACCAAATTTGGTTGAAATCGGTCAAAGTTGAATTTTGATCCTTTTGAGCGCCCCCTAGTGGGGCCGTTTTTGACCCGATTTTTTTTTTCATTCGCAAACTTTGTAGACCTTACCATAAGGACCCTAAATATCAAATATGAATTTAATCTGACTGTTGGTTTATGAGAAGATTTTTTTTAAAGATTTACCTAATTTTACCCCCTTTTTCCCCTCCTGGGGCCCCTATTGGGGCCACACCCTTTTTCTTCGCAAACTTGAAGCGGCTTCCCATTGGAATGGTTTGTGCCAAGTTTGGTCAAAATCCATCAAATATTTCTTGTGAAGATGTCATTTATAGAAGGTTTTTACATATGGCCCCTTTACACCGCTTATGGGCCCCAAAGGGGACAATAATTTTTTTCAACATAATTTCATATGTCCTTCGCTAAGGGATGCTGTCTACCAAATTTGGTTGAAATCGGTCAAAGTTGAATTTTGACCCTGTTGAGCGCCCCCTAGTGGGGCCGTTTTTGACCCGATTTTTTTTTCATTCGCAAACTTTGTAGACCTTACCATAAGGACCCTAAATATCAAATATAAATTTAATCTGACTGTTGGTTCATGAGAAGATTTTTAAAGATTTACTTAATGTTACCCCCTTTTCCCCCCTCCTTGGGCCCCTATTGGGGCCACACCCTTTTTCTTCACAAACTTGAAGCGGCTTCCCATGGGGATGCTTTGTGCCAAGTTTGGTCAAAATCCATTCCGCGGTTCTTGAGAAGTTGAATATGTGAAAAGTTAATGACGCACGACGCGACAAATCATGATGGCAATAGGTCAACACCAGCCTTTGGCTCAGGCGACCTAAAAAGACGTTAGGTTGAACCCCCCTTTCCCCCATCTCAACTTTGTTGTATGGAGAAGTGAATTTACCATAGAAATTGTAACATCAGTTAAGGCCTCCGAAAGTATCTATCATTAGACCTCTACCTCTGGGTCGCATGTTCGAGGTCTTTGTAGGTCTGTCGCTATGTACTGGACGTATGTCAGAGGTTTTCTTCCGGAACCTGGCTCATCCTTAATTGACCCTGGCAGTTCATAAGATATAAAACATCAATAAACCAAATATAGTCAACGAGGGATATTTTTGTAGATTAATGAAGTAGTACTTTTTAATATAGCTATGTGGTGACAACAAGAACATCAAAGTCCAAGATGTCTGCTTGTCAGCAATTTTTATCTCCTTTTTATTGTTGAAGTAGCACTTTCCAAATAACAACAAAAAGAAACCTGAATATGAACTTAGAAAAATCCAACAACTTGACTTTGAGAAACTCTTAACCATACCTTTTTAATTTGTTAGTGGTTGTATGTGCTAACACCCTAATCAAATGAGTTAGCATTACAAACAAGTAGTCAAGCTTAATTGTTTTATTTGTTACATCAATTTATTCAACATAGTATAGCTAGAATGAAAACTTCACAAAATGAAAACACCTGACAATATCACATAGCCTGTATCTCTCATACAAATACTAATAGCTGTTACAGTATTCAATTCCTGATTTTTTACATATTCAGCTATGTAGTTTTAACATCATATTCTGGATCATAAATTTCTTTTTAAAATAAATACTCATTATAAAGGTGACAGGTTTTCTAAGTGATTACATCAATCATAATTTTTCAAGTCTGTACAATCCATTTACTTCACAGAGTTTTTCCAGGTTTTGAATTTCACATCTTTGTAGAAATGTAAATACACTACACTTAAATCCTCTTCAAAGTTCTCATTTTAATTTTCATTTCTCACTTAAATTTCTATTTTAAAGAAAAATAAAGGTAAATGGCATATGATTTATGACGTGAAAATCACTTAACATTTAAACCACAAATATAACAAAAAATATTGAATGAATTTGAAATAGCATGTGATACCTGATAGAAGCATGGGTGAACACACAAGAATCTGTCATATTTCAAAATATAATCTTTATATATCCTGTACTAATTCTTGTATCATGCTTCCTGTAACATGCTTTTGAAAAACGCAACATGGGTAAACAATTTTGATTCAACATAACTCATTAAATTCAAGAAGTCATTCCTTGTGTTGCTTTCAATATTTTTTTACAACTATCACCAGGAAAATCAACAGGTCTTGGTGTCTGACATAACTTATAAGTGTCTAAATCTGCATGAACTTTTTGCACTTACAAGTCTATTTAAGACAATTCCAAAATTGAACCTTATTTTTATAGTACGATGTCTATGTCCTTCTAAATGTTTTAAGTAGGTAACATTTTTCATTTATGGGAACGAGATTTCAATTGAAATTTGACAGAATCAAGTGAAAGCAGAAAGATCAAAGGATCAAGGTTATTCCGTGGTGATCACAATGAAGAATGATTAGGAAAACAGCTCCTTATATAACTTTGTGAACAGTTATGTTTTGACACTTTCACATGCCAGACCATACTTTTGCACTTACACTCACGCTAATTACCAAGAGTTAACTCCCTTTCGAAAATTTTACTCTTTTCCATGCACTTCTAGAACCACTATGTAAGAGAATCTGGCTAAAACTATGAATACATTATTACTAACAAAACAGTAGTCAGAGAGCCTACTAAATCTACAGAGTTCAATTTCAGTCCTTCACCAGCCTTATACTGAAAACTTGGTTTACTACGAGGATTAAACATCAACTTACTTAAAATTCTATTGACCTTGGACAGATGAGAAATTACTTGATAATTGTTACAGAAATTACTTGAAAATTATCTAATTTTGTGCCAATTTCAATTTCTACATGTTATTTTATAAACATGATTAATTTTTGAAAGTGACATTAAAACCTTACTGGATATTTTCCAATTTCTATTACATATCATTGTGAATCCTTTAAAAAGCAGATATCTGGTTTCTACTCAGTCATTCCACACAATACCACATCAAATACACATACCATTTCATAACAAATCATTTTCTCAAAAAAAAAAAACTTTTGAAATCCCATGTGATGTATCTGTACAAGTTTATCGAAGAGGCAAAAAAGATATATGTATGTATGGTAAGGATTAAGATACCACTGCATGCTAGTATATATACATTTCAAAAGTAAATGCATTATCCTTAGAAACAGTTAAAATCATAAATAATACATTATGTTATGAAAGCAAAATGTCACACGGATAGATCTAAATATAAACATTGAAAAGCAGACAGACATATTTCTCTCGTTATTTTTGAATTAACAAATTGTAACAAGAGTGCCACTAAATCTATCTTCAGTGCAATAAAACCATTTTATTGGTATTCATTGGAGACTTAATATGAAGTGTAGAGAACAATGAAGTTGTAACACTATATTGCATCATTTAGGATAAATGTCAGTTACAGACTGACGGTCCTGTTTAAAAAAAAAAAAAACAAAACAAAAAATTTTCAATTTAGTATTTCAAGAATCATATTCATAAATCATACTTAACAAAAACTCTTAGAATGACTGGTCATTCATCCCATCATCTCTTAACAAACATAAAATGAAAATAAAATTCTTGTTTATACAAGTTTACTTTAAGATTATAGAAATAAACATGAATTATTCATAACTTAATAAGGTTTTTAAACAAACAAAATAAAATGTGAACAATCTATCCAATGATTTATACTGAAGATTTCTACAGGTGTGATATGACAGATCAATAGCAGAAATATGATATACTGTTATTACTGGCAATAAGCTTGTGCCTTTTAATAAGCCCATCCATTTATATAACTGTTTAGTAGACTTAACACTTAATGATTTACCCATGGACTTTAATAATCCCAACTATTTATAGGAATTTTCAGGCATGTCAAAACCACCAATTTTAAAATTTCGAAGAATCTCGATACTTCTAAGATAAAGTGGGTTTCTAAAATCTGAGTTTGTCCCCAAGGAAAAGTAAGAGTCATAAACTCAAATATCAAAGTCCCAAAAACCAAAGCTGCTCACCAAATTACTTTGCGACATGAATTTATAGAAGTAAGGTAAAACAATGTGCCTTATTTCAGTATCCAAGGCCAAATGTCAAATTTACAGTAGCCAAACAGTTTGCAGGCCTACTACAGGCACAACTGTTGTATTTGGTTATAATTTCTGTCTTGCTTTACAGAACACAATATATTTGAGAGCTACACTTGTGTTAAAAATCTTTACCTTTCTAGGTGAATTTGAAGGGACCCTAAATCAATTCTGCTGTCTATTCTCAGCTAACATCACATCCTGTACCTTGTTTGCAAAATCCCTGCACTGAACCGGAAGTTTTGAATATACATTTCAACACAATCTTAAAAATTAATTGATGGATACCACTACTGCCTGTAAAATGTCATATCACCCACCAATAAATAGAACAATTTTGTAAGAATGGATAAAAAAAGGTAAGATTAAATCATCTATGACCAAACCAAGCTGATTTTCCCCATGTCGCAAGTTTCATAATAAACTTTAGTAACACTTTACGACATATATGGTTTCAAGGAATAATTTTTCATTTGGAGTCAATATTTCGCATTCTATGATACACATCAGCCCTGAAATTGAAAAAACAATAATTGTCGTCTGGAAAAGTGTAGTTCAATAATGAGCTAGTAATAACTTAACTAGCATCAGTCTTACTATTCTTTTAAAATTTCACGAGAAAAGAGAAAGTTTACAACATTTTAGGTTTGAGAAATCCAGAATGCAAAGAAAGAAAATAATAAGAAACCAATAAGGAGGGAAATTTTGATTATCAAGTTTAACCATCAGAAAATCTGTGTTTACATGGAAATTCTAATATACTAAACTTTAACACATGATAAATCTTTTATAATGGCTATTGTGCGATAGTGGTAGAATGGGCATCTATGATTTCTTGAAAGCAAACGGAGATAAAAAATTCTCACCCAAGAAAAAAACTCTCATTGGAGAAAAAATATATTTTATGACAACAAAATGAAGTTATAGAACTCACAATGCAGTGAAAATCACAGAGCAAACAAACATAACAAAAAAATCTTTTTGCAACTTCTCTTAAACTATTGTATTAATAAAATCTGTATCGTTAGGATATATTCATAATTGATAAAAAATATTGAAATATTTTAATCTTTTATACAGTGTGCTGGACAACTTGTCCCTGTACGATTCCTCATGTTGAAGGACCATTCCTTATCTGTCTGTGTCTGCCCCAGGACAATACAAGCTCCCGTCAAAAACTGTTCCAATTAAAATGGATTCAGTTTCGAATCTGTTCTGTTGTACCCAACACTAGTCCCAAATATTGCTGGGTAAAACTGTTTTCAGTCACAAAAGCGCACTGTACATTGTACAGCTGTTCAAAGCTGAATAATGTTTTAGGTAAGACACACGTTTAATGGTTGAAACCTGATTTCCTGGCTATCAAGCCACTCATTGTCTCTGAGCCTTTTCTGCAATAGCACATGAAAATGGTACAGACGAGTGGCTATGCTGCCGTCTCTCATTCCTTACTGAACTATTCCTTAAAATCCCTGGCATACTGTCATAATGGTGACTGTTTAAACCAGCTACACACCTGATATCACAATGAGGAAGTCTCTCACATTTAACTCGGGGAAACGCCTCTAGTTTCATCTAACATAATAAGCATACATGTGACAGTGACATCTGCTAGTTGCCAAAAATAATGTTTCCTGGTACAAAATATTATCTGTAGCTATTTGAGGACAAATCCAACATATTTTTTTTCATCCAAGATTTTTACAGATTTTCAAAAAGTGCAAAAGTCTAAGTTTCAATGGGACTTGTCCAGCATTTGATATGTTCAGATAATCAAATATTTTTTTCTCTAAAAAATGATCAGAAAATTCTAAATTTTTAAAATTATTCTGAAAATTTTGATTTCTAAGATTCTTTGCATATTTTTACCCTAGCTCAACAATTTGAAGCTAGTTTTGATGAAACAACTGACAGTCTTTAATATGAATATGTTGGAACACAATAAGCATAAGAACATTCATTTTCAAGAAGAACTCAAACTTCAAAGTATTTTAGCCAAATTATCTGCAGTCATCGATATCTAAGAAATCTTTATAGTTTTGCATAAGCCATCAAAATCTTGCCACATAAAGTAATCCAGTAAACTTTATTTCTAGCAACTTCAACATTCACTGTCAACTCATCAAAAGATATCCATATATAGTTTTCTACACATATACAGGTATCAATAATAAGTCTTTCTTTATTTCTTTTTAAACAAATGAATCCATTATTGTGTATTTGCATTAAATTTTCTGTATTTTTTCGGCCACGATCACTGGATTGTGTTTGCGAATGTGCTCCTGCGCCATTTCCTTGTAATTAAATTTACACTCGTGTTTATCTGAATATCTATGTATACTACAGTATAGTCCTCCACAGCGACAGGGAAATCCTACAAAAATAAACAGGACAATTTTTTTACACAGAAACTAATCTTATAAACAAAAGTATGACAAAATATAAAATAGTAATTTTTGTTTGTAAGAAAAAAAATGGGAAGGTAGGTATTTTTTTAAATACTTTTGTTTTTATCACAGAATTTTTTAAATACTTTTTTTTATCAGAGAATAGAAATCAGACATGTGCTTCCTTCAAAAATATGGGGAGAAAAAAAGTTATGGGAAGGTACAACCATATAGGATGAGAAAAGAAACAACATCTAAAAAAACTGATGAATTAGATGTTGTGGTGTTTAGGCTTGTAGTGGTTATCTACCCAAAATTTAATAGAAGGAAAAACCAATGTTCCTTAAGAATTTTGACCAAAACCTTCTTAAAATATATTTTGTGATCAGTCAAATACAGAATTGAGTTCGTGTGTTTTTACCTGTAAGTCCAACCTTCTTTTTGCAAGTATGACAGCGATTCTTTTTGGGCTTTTTATCCTTGTCGTCATCTGATTGAGAGCTGGAATCCGTTCCTACTTCAGCACCACCTGTAGGGAAAGCAAATAATTTTGTAATGAAAAATTTGCATGCATTTTCGTCAATATGGAATGGAATATTCTTTTGCCTAATTACAAGTAAAAAAATGAACTAACTGCAAACCCTTACTAGAACAGCCTCACACGGAGCTTGATGGTGAATCAAACAAACTTTACGTTCCATAATACAATCAAACCTCATTTGTATCTTAGATACAGACTGTTAAGGAAAGAATTTTATCACAGTTTACTTTTACAGAAATTATCTGTTCTGCATCATGTTTGTTCTGCAAAATTTAACAATATTACAATTAAAATAATGAAGTCAAACTTTTAACAATCCATATACAAAACAAATGCACAATCACCAATTGAGATTTCAAATGTCCAAATCTAGGTATCAAACTGTTAATGCTTAATTGAATTCTTGTAATGCACAATTTTTGAAGTGCAAAACAATTTAAAAAAAGACCCCAATGATGATATTTTATGACGTACCGACAGCCCCTTCTTCTGTTTCTGGCTCCACTTTAGTTGGACTTGTGGCGCTGGGTATAGATACAGTTGGGGTGGCTGTTTCCACACTTGGAGTGGTGCTTGTCACCACTTCACTTACGTATGTGCCACTTGGCACAATAGTGCTGCTGATTGAACTTGTGGTGCTACACTCGGTACTGGTGCCTGGAAAGGAAGTAACACACACATCAGATCTTTTCCTACTACAAGATAATTCATGAAATTTTCCAGCCATGTCTGGCTCTTTACTGCATTACAATGAGTCTTTATAAATTCTCAATTTACAGTTGTAATTGTGAGCAAATTAAATCCAAAAATAATTTTTTAATCTGTTTTCATTTTGTCAGCAAATAAAAACAACATAACAATTATACCAAACATGAATGGAAAAGGACAGTAAATCTTGTTGTTCTACTTCATGAAAACCTTAACTTCAGAGCTGACTTGACACTGACGCTGACTTCAACGAACTCAAACATATAAATAACACATGCAGCACCCTACAGTTATCCTTAGTATGCGTCTAATACGACCCTGTCACTAAGTCACATGTCGTAATAAAATAGGTGAAAACAGAACACATCTTTTCACATATTGTGAACATACATCAGAAATAAGATCAAACTTAACATTTGAATGCTGGCGAGTTCAGAAGTGGTTGCTTCATTGCCTTACCCTGAAATATGCTTTGCATTAATAAACTAATACATGGTCAACTTAACTCTAATAATTTTTATCTGAAGTGTCCAATGTCACAGATGTACCATTCCAGAAGCCAAAATTTGGGATAGCAATTTTGATTAAAATTACTGGGAAGTCAACAGCTGGACAAGTAAAACAAAAAAGAACCGGGAGTGTTAATTGTTGTCATAATAAAGTTTTCAAAGCCAAATATTCCTAACAAACAAACTTCACTGAACTTCTGGCACAGCATTGCCAGAATCCTACTGCTTTTCTCCAGTGTATAGATAATACATAGAGACTCTTGATTTCCTGATGTTTTAAAATGATTTACCTAGACTTGCATGTGCCAGCGTCGAGGTTACGCTGCTCACTGACGACTCCTTCTCACCTGGCGATACTGGGCTTAATCTACCACTGACAGGAGAAGAAGAATTGTTCTTTCGTTTTAATGCATCTTTGTAACACTTTGAACACAAGCCATCAAATGCTGGGTTACCATAGAAACCACATCCTGTCCGACAAAATGTTACTGGTGGTAAATTCTGGTTACCGTTTTGTTCCATAACGTTGATCCTGGTAAAAAGAAAGTACAAGACAATAAAGAATAATGATATTGCTATGTTTAAAGCATGTGATTTCTAGAATTTCCAGTCACTAATGCACTGACAGATCATGTTGTCGTGATAGGTGCATTAAAGAGGAACTCCAGATTTTACTTTTCAACTCTTCAGGGTTTTCCATAATTTTGTTAGTAGTAGGCTGTATAATAAAAGTAGAGGCTGTCCTGCCGTGTACATGTAGTTGTGTACGGAACATTATTACGGAACTGGATTGGTGTAGGCGGCCAAATGATCAAAGTAGCCAGTCAAATTGGCCGGCGACCGACTCTTATGGAAAACCCTGACTCTTTAAAACATAGGTTCAAAACGCACAGGCAACAGTAGATGATTGTCTGGTTAATTGTTTCCTTACCAAAAACTCCTCGATTTTTTCCACATACAGCTAATCCTTGGACAACTTCATAACAAAGTGCTTGTGCTATTTATTTAACTCATTGAACGTTTCATTTTCCTTTTCAAACCTTTTACATTATTTATTATATTACTATCATTACAATTCTGATATTTACAAATCAGATTGAATTTTGTTTTGTCATAAAAGAGTCACTTGAATTTTGTTTTGTCATAAAAGAGTCACAAAGAAGTATTGATACTTTATATCTCAAAATATATCAACTATCTATAAAAAATTGTGGTTCATGAACAATTGGCCCGGCAAAGAAGATTTATTAATCATATAGAAATCCTTTGTCTTTTTGTAACATTGAATTACTGGATGGGTCAAAGTTCGAGCACCCAAAGATCTTGCATAAAGAAACATATGACTCATTTGTCCTACATAAATATTTACGACAAGTTAACTCATTCATAGACCTGAATACTCGATTCGATAAGTTAATGATATGATCTTTAATACTTTTATAGTTTGTACGTATCCTTATTTTATACTGTAGAATGACTAGAAAAATCACCAATTTCCTGTTATTCACGACATGCATGTCCGTGACTTATACGTGATCAAATTAACTTCCTGTGCCACGAATAAACAAAGAACGAGTAACTTTATCACGAATACTTGAACATTCAATATACTATTTTTAAGAAGACTTCATTTTAATGGCTGGACCCTATTCCGTATCTTAGCCAGCATATGTTATCAAATATCAATAAACATTTGACAAGTTTCGCCATGTACGTGATAAAGCAAAATTGACAGATAGCGTCAAAACGACCTAGAATCATCTTTGAACGAGGTAAAAAAACTTCTAGCTAAAAAATCAAACAATTAATTTTACTTACTTACTAGCAAATGAAGAAATATATCAATACTCATATCCTATCTCGACTTTCAGAAAGGATAGACGACGTCTTCCACAAAACTCGACCCACCCTATTTATGTTTTGTTTGGTATTTGGGGACAAGATGGCGACCTTGTGTTGTTTTTACGTCATATTTCCTCTATTTTATGGCTTTGCACGATATCTTTGGTATTTGCTACACATCGTATGTCATCTTCGAAGATAAATGTAGGAGAAGAAAGTTTATACAAACCTAAAATGACCCCCTGAAACCTGGTATTTGCCTTCCTTTTTCCGCAGGTACGTGGTAGTATGATCCCCTATGACACTATTCTATTATTTGGATCATGTGACTAGAAATACGCGATATCATTGGCTAATTCTGCTACCAAAAGGAGGCATCGGATTGTGACGTAAACAAGGGGAATCTCTGTTTCGTCATAACTTCTATCCAGTCATTTCATTGTTATTATAAATAGTAACGCTAATATTAGTCACAAGCTTCAAGAAACTTCTATCCGTTCAGTTATTTATAGAAAGGATGTGAATCAGGGAATCCCACACAACGATTTCATCATACATGATTATGGACACATATTTTATGGAATTAGATATCTATCATGCACATATGTCCGGGCAGAGACGTGAAGTTATAATCCCCCCCCCAAACAAAAAAACAACACATTGTAGTGGCGCATTTTCAAAATTCCTTAATAAAATCACATTTAGCAATTTAGAGTATGACTATTCAATGCCAATATTCACATTTATTATGGTGTTATTGATATTTACATTTTCATTGACTATGCTCATTTTTGAAACTCATATTAAAGGGATTAACAGCTGACATCTTGGATTGTGATCGTAAGTCTGTTTAGTTATGTTTCAAATAGTACTTCATAGGTAAACTTCTTATATTTCTTGTGCTAGTTCCTTTTAGTTGAATTTGAGACTAGAACAAGATGTATGGGTGGCCATCTTGGATTCAGTTTTGGAAACCTTACATTGAACATTCTGAAACCTTGTATGCATATTTCGTTTGTTCACCAGTCAGTACTAAAAATAATTAAAAACACACAAACAGACAATTTGAGGAGGGAATGGAAAAGATTAAACCTTTACAGGTTGTCTCGCTGTAACATTCGTTTGTTTTATTACAACAAATTAGGTTCAGTTTCAAATAATTCTGAGGAACTATTGTCCAAGTTCGAAAAATATACATCTGTGAGTATCTTATAAAGAGGATCTCATTTTGAAAAGACATTTTTTTATATATATATACGTGTGATCCTTATTCTGTTGGTCACAATATCAGGGGCGTAGCTAGCCCAGCAGAAATGTTATTTCAAAGATGTTTTGAATCGTTTTCTGAGACACTTTTTTTTATTTCTTTAACAACAAACTTCAACCCCTGATATTTATTTTCAACCTTAGTTTTGTAATTTTGTCCGACATACTCTATGCACAAATCTTTTATCTGTAAGCCCGGGCTTTTTCTTTCTATGGAAGCTAGTCCCCACAATATGTTCCGCAATTTTCCCTCCATTTGTATCAATATTATATTATAATCTAAAATCTCTTGAAGCAAATGGAATACTATATCAAACTAGAAACACATATACTTTGTTCATAATAATAGTAGTTATAAAAATAACAAGCAAGGTGACGTTTTACAACGCCGTTTCTACAATCTTGGTAGGCAATGAGACTCCTGTTTCGAACTAAGCTTATTGTTCCACATGGATGGTGGGTGAAAGGATCACACTAAATGTACAAAATGGCCACTTCTTTTTTAACAATCAATTCAAAAATACGTCAAGAACAACTTAAGACCAAAGATAACTTGAAACTTGAGAATTTATATAGATCAATAAGGACTAAAATAAACGTGTATGGCAAAACAAATCTCTAATTCCAAAATGGTCGCTTGTCAACCGGCCTTTTTTTTCAGATTAATTGCGAAGGCACATGTTCTATTTAATCAAATTTACAATTAGGTCATCCTGATTTTTTGATTCAGTGACACCTACAGAAAAAGATTCCTAGAAAATGATTTCATAGACAATCCTGATAAAACCTGTCAGGTACATGTTCTATTTAATCAAATTTACAATTAGGTCATCCTGATTTTTTGATTCAGTGACACCTACAGAAAAAGATTCCTAGAAAATGATTTCATAGACAATCCTGATAAAACCTGTTAGGTTCCATAACTCTGGTCTCGAAATCACCAGTTAGTCTGAATCAATGAATGTGATAACTTTTCCTACACTTTTATGTGACACAACATAATTACCTTATTGTTTTGCCATTTTTTGTATAATGTACAGGAAACATCACAAGCAGCCGCCCAGGAGTTTGGCATCAGTATATATATGAAAGAGATCCCAAAGGGACCCACAATTGTTGGATTCTTATTTGTAACAACCAAGTTTTCTCTCTTTTTTTCATCTTTCCTCTGTTCTTGTTCCGAAAAAAAAAAAAAAAATAGAAAAGTCCTCTTTATTTTATTCTAATTGTCAAATCAAAGATGGATACCTATTGGCCATTTTGCTGATCAGTCCCAAAATCAAACGAACACAACAATGGACCAAGGAAGACCTACATGTGAAATGTGAGAAAAAGCCAGCTTGTACTTCTCAAGAAATGACGATAAGAATAATTGATAATAGACAGAAGGACACTTGTCGATTTAACATTTTCTGTTCCGAGAGTTTTCTTTGTCATACACATTTTCTCACAATTGGTGTTTAAAACGTTTTCACTACTTAACTGGTTTCCACTTCTGAAAGTTTTCAATTGAATTACAATAAAAACGATACATGCAGGTGAATTTCATCAATGTAACTAGGTTTACTATTTGTATATCAATCTACAAAACACACACAACACTAAGAAGAAATAACGAAAAAGACTTTATATATTGTTTCTTATTTATTTTTCTTCTGTGAGTTTTGAGCTTGAGTTAATGATGAAGCAAATATTTGTTAAAATGATGACAAAATGTACAAAATCACATTCAAATTACCTAATCAGGAGATATGATTCAATTTAATTCACTTAAAATCACACATAGTGGTATAATTCATAGATGGTTGATGAAATATATGTTTATATCTAACACATTCATCATCTAAACAAACTTGGTATATGATATTTGGTTATGAATGTTTAAAGGAAACGGTATCAAAACCACCAAAAGAATACTGACATCATTCTTCAAATACAAATTCCATAAAAGTAGGGCAAAATATGAAAAACAGAGTGATTTACAGAATACTCTTGAAAAGTACAATGAGAATAAGACCAGGTGTCCCGGAAGGGTACAGTAATTATCCATACACAGATTTCTGCAGAGAAAACACAGCAGTTCACTAAGTACAGCTTTGGTTGGTTTACTGTGATAGGATAGATCAAAATTATATCTACGTTCTTTAGCAAATACTTATTGGAACCAATGTCACGACGTAACATCCAAAATATTTAGTCTGATATATACAGATATCAATTTTGAGTGAGACAATCATCTATTACAGTTATACAGACAAGCTGTATACATAGAGAAAAGGTTGTTTATAAGCAAGAACGTAAACATGGTTGTTTTGTCCCTTGAATTGATTATAATAATATCAAGTTTTAACTTATTACATCTTCACATATTCCCTTGTATATTCTAAATACATCATCAGCTCCTGTGTACCTTTCAATATGCCATCTTATACCTGTGTACGTTTCAAATATGTCATCAACTCCTGTGTACCTTTCAATATGTCATCAACTCCTGTGTACCTTTCAGTTATGTCATCAACTCCAGTGTACCTTTTGAATGCATTTGGACCTTTTACTTTTGTCATCAATTAAAGATTTACCTCAAGTTTTTTTCTCATAATAACTTCTGGAGAAGAAGACTAAAACATTTTCTGATGACATGCACCCTTAATGTTCCATCATCATTATCAGTATGTGAATACAAGACTGAAGCCCAGACCTCAACAGTAAGGAAACCTTTTTCCATATAAACTGTTGTATAAAACTGAACATATTAATCAAATCGCTTATGACACATTACCCAGGTCATATACATTAAATTCCATTTAAAAATTCATTTCCATTTTTGATATATACAGATATTTATATACAGGTTACACTAATGTTGATGTTGAGAGGTATATACAATGATTAATGATTATGAATATTTACAATAAATTGCAAGATCATCCTCAAAATCAATCAATTGATCATCTTAACATTAAATCATATAAACAACAAATTAATAAATCACTTGTCACTCAGCTTAACTTTCAAAATGGCACCGAAAATTAATCACTTAATCACCCTCAGAATCAATCACATGATCACCCTCAGAATCAATCACAATCACCCTCAGAATCAATCACATGATCATCCTCAGAATCAATCACATGATCACCCTCAGAATCAATCACACGATCACCTTCATGATTAATCATGATATTCTTCAAGTTCACACCATCACTCACAATTAATCACATGATCACTGTTCCAATTGATTACATAATTATCTTTACAATAATTAAAATATGAAATTAAATTTGATAAAAAAAACTCTGCAATAATTAAAATATGAAATTAAATTTGATAAAAAAAACTCTGCATTAGTTATTGTTCAATAAAATGATAAAAATGTATAAAAATAAATTGGTAGTCAAATGATTTTTTCCCCATATCTGTTTAATTCCTTTAAATTCACATGAATTCATTTTCAAAAGTAATGATTCCACATTAGCTGCATGAACAACACATGATAATATTATTATTTATAAACATGTGTTTTGATTTGTACAAATCTGTGTTGATCAAATGGATCCTGTATATCAAGAAATCTTACTTAATAAAAACAGAATCTAATTTCCAGTGATATATATTATATCTAATTCTATTCTGGATTTAACAGAATTTGAGTCAGTAAGAGGACAGAATTTTTTACCAAGAAAGCATTGTATTCACCCTGTTAATGACCACATTCTGGTCTTCTAAAATCAGAAGTTTCATTTGACCTTAGTGACCTAAAATGAAGTTCAAAGTCATGACCTTAATATCAATAATAATAATAATAATAAAATAAAAACACACAACAAGATGGTCTTTATTTCAAGTATGTTAACAGCTAAATGTTACTACTCTAGGCATAACCAACATGCAGGATCTGAACACCCTGACCTTGAGGTCATTCAAGGTCATTCAAACAAGCCAACTAGATATCACAGCATGTTACTGACCAATATAATGGACCTTACCCTACTGCTTTTTTAGTTCATTATAAGTATTTTAATACAACAATATAAGACTGACAGAAGACGAACTCTACCCCATTTACTTACTTCCCTTTGAATCAGATATGTTTACTACACGTAGAATGAATACTCTCTATTACTGTCCTGGTAATTTATCTTTAAAATAATTTTTTAAATAAAATTGATGACATGGAACAGAAAACAATAAAGGAAAACACTTGATGATAATGTCATCTATAAACTCCTGTAAAATTTGACAGACGTTTATAACAGGCTGCTGTAACTAACAACGATCACAATGAAATAGATCCTTGTCTGCAGCCATGGACTAAATGAAATTTGATAGACTCAGGAAGACATAACAATCCATTTTAACAGTCTTCCACATCTATATATCTGTATGAAAACTTAAAACATCCACCAGATTTCTGTAGTAATCATAAACTTACAAATGTACAACCACTTGCTGACTTGTTCAGACTCTACAAAATCATGCATCTTTCCAAGCTATCCTTAAATGTCCAACAGGTACATATAACATTTGATAAATTGATACAAACACATAAGAGGCTTGTAGAATGCTAACCTCTACAGATTTGTATCAACCTATCACAGTCATCCACCAACTTTTACATCAATTTACTAGAACACAGAATTAATGAATGGACGGACAGGTTTGTAGCAACTTGTTGTGGTCTGTAATTACCCAGTTTAGTGATGACTCAAGTCTTTCTTTCCTTCTGAAATCTTTCTCATTTCCGAATTATTTAAAAACAAAAAATCATTTTTTCGTTTTGGTACCAATCTGTATTATCATTTTTGTCTTCTTCTTTTAAATATTTTTTGTTTTTCTTGTGATTTCTTTTTCAATCTTTTTCATCCTCTTCTCATACAACAACAACTATCAGTTTTCGCTTCCTGCTCTTCTAAAACCTTTTAAAATTTTTCTCATTTTCTTTTGAAATATTTTTGATTTTCACTTTCTTGCCGTTTAGACCTTTAAAAAAAGCTTTGGTTGCTGGAACATATGAGTATTGACCATTTCATGTGTTACAATTATATCTGATTAATATAATCCATGGAGTAATATCTGATAGTATTAAAATTTTTCTTTAAGATATAAAAGTAGTTCATAAAAGCGAGCTGCATCATAAAATCTTTAAACACAAGTTGTTCAGTCAGGATGGTTAACTACACACCAAAACTGATACAATTAATCAAGCTTCATATTTCTTGGAATGAAAACTTTCAAAAATTGATTGATTAAACAATCAGTTGAAAAAAAATTTTAAAAAAAAATGTATTTAGAGGATGATAAATAGCAAATATTATAATTACAAATTGAAGCACCATTGTTTTTAGTTATACAGAGTAATCAATCCTCTAAGTAATTCTTGTAATAATTGAATAAGTAGTTATATAGAAATGGATGATTTACATATCGCTTGCTCATATAATACATCTACCTGGTATACATATATATTTACCATATTTGGCTACAAATTGTGCCCAGTTCCTTCGTGAAAACTAAAAAATTTAAAGTCAGACTCGAACATATTTGATCTATCCTGTTCAACAACATACAGAGTTTCTAATTAATAGGTTCTGTTGTCGGACCTGCAGATAATAGGAAACAACAGAGGAACTAGATTTAATCCTACATTGGTCACAAGTACCAATTTGGAGGAGCAACATTGCCGTCAAATGCAGTATACAACACTTACAATATACAATACATATATCACTTGTGTACCACTAACAAAATACTGATGAACATTCACGCTGGAACACAACATGCTACACTCTTCGGTGTCTAGTGAGGAAGATACTCAAAAGTGTCATGGTTACTATGACAAGGAGGCTGTATCTGACGTCAGCACCACGTGACACATCTCTTGTCAAGTCTTCCTGGACGTACAACAGACGGTCAATGATGTGCATGAGACCGTTCGTGGCACCGATATCCATACTGATGACGTTAGCTGTTACACCACTGAACTGGATCTTTACATCTGAAAATTATTGAGAAAGGGAGATAATTTAAAAACCAAGGCGGTTTAGCATGTTAAGTAACTTATCCAATCTAATTTGGGAATGAAATTGTGATTGCTAAAATGAACTATGAGTTGGTATTTATTTAATCACCTGACCAGTCTCGAGGGCGGTGATTATGTTTGTGATAATTGTACAGTGTTAAGTGTTGTAAAGTGAAACAAAAGTCATTAAAACAATAAACCTAACTTAGAAAATACATTGAGGATTTTACATGAGTGTCAATAAGATAAGGATTTATTTGTTTGTCATGTTTACTGGCCCGCAAACAAACAGTGATAAGCCATTATTGTTAAGACATTTTTTTTTTCAAAAAAGATAGTAAATATATTTCTCCAAAGTACATTATAAGTAAAGGCCCTATGGCTATATGACTGATGAATGACTTACAACAAGGCCTTCAGGTTCTGTTAAAAACATATTTACTATGACTGGCCAATGTGTCATCACATGTACATGTTTCTAGAGGCACTTTTGATTAATATGTTCCTGGTACACGTTGCATTACTTTACTGTGTTATGTCATATTATTTAACATCTAAATACAGTCACAGTTTGAGTTTTAGCTGAGGTGAGACACCCAATCATCAAGGCTTTTGCCTGAGTTAAATGCACTGATATTGTTAAATACTTATCAAACTTTGTACAGGTATATTGTAAATAGTGATGATGATGATGATGATGATGATGATGATGATGATATCTTTTAAACAATAATATGATAAATAAATGCACTCACTAATAACCAAAGTGTATATTATATACCCCTCTTCCTGAGTATAGCATACCATATTTATTCAGCAATAAGTGTCCACAATGCAAATCAATATTATTTCATTGTCCTGTAATAAGCCCGCCCCCTGATGTTCTGTTAAGTGATGACCCACTTGGCCAGTAACAGGATAAATATGGTTTGGAGAAGAAATTGTAACTAAACATACAACTACAGTTTGTTGTGATATGAATAAATTTCCTTTAAATTCTCTCACACACTTGGACCCGATAGGATCACTTTTCTTACCTCTATCCATAGACTTCAATATACGGATGGATTCACCTGTCTTAGCTGTGAAGACATGGTTTGTGTTTGACAATTTCTCTAAAGAGATGCGCTGTCCTTCAAACAACAGCCTCTTGAACAACTGAAATTAATAAATGCATCTGAAGTAAGTTTCCAGGTGATGGAATTTAAAATTTAGTTTTTTACAAAGGACAATTTTTTGTTTGTTTTTTTACAAAGGACAATTTTTTTGTTTATTTGTCTTTTTTTACAAAGGACAATTTTTTTGTTTCTTTTTTAACAAAGGACAATTTTTTTGTTTCTTTTTTTACAAAGGACAATTTTTTTGTTTCTTTTTTTACAAAGGACAATTTTTTTGTTTCTTTTTTAACAAAGGACAATTTTTTTGTTTCTTTTTTAACAAAGGACAATTTTTTTGTTTCTTTTTTAACAAAGGACAATTTTTTTGTTTCTTTTTTAACAAAGGACAATTTTTTTGTTTCTTTTTTAACAAAGGACAATTTTTTTGTTTCTTTTTTTACAAAGGACAATTTTTTTGTTTATTTTTCTTTTTTTACAAAGGACAATTTTTTTGTTTCTTTTTTAACAAAGGACAATTTTTTTGTTTCTTTTTTTACAAAGGACAATTTTTTTGTTTAATTTTCTTTTTTTACAAAGGACAATTTTTTTACAAAGGACAATTTTTTTGTTTCTTTTTTTACAAAGGACAATTTTTTGTTTATTTTTTTACAAAGGACAATTTTTTTGTTTCTTTTTTTACAAAGGACAATTTTTTTGTTTATTTTTCTTTTTTTACAAAGGACAATTTTTTTGTTTCTTTTTTAACAAAGGACAATTTTTTTGTTTCTTTTTTTACAAAGGACAATTTTTTTGTTTAATTTTCTTTTTTTACAAAGGACAATTTTTTTGTTTCTTTTTTTGCAAATGACAATTTTTTGTTAGCATTATTAAAAAAAATTATTAAGTTTTAGCAAAATTCATCACGTTTTAAAAAATTGTCCATGTAAAACGTAAATTAAATTCACGCAAGAGATCACAGAGCTTGTATTTACTCTATCTAACAAGAATAAAACTGTCGGAATGGAATTCACAAAGGCATCAAGAAAGATGAGGATGAGAATGTAAATTCATCTCATTTAAATAACTAAAATTAATAGGTCATGTGTAACAATTGTGACATATATAGTGTCATTCATTAAATTTTGGTGGTCAGGTGGCGCAATGGTAACGCACTCGCCTTTCACCTAGCCGACCGGGGTTCGATTCCTGGAACGGACGTGAAAAGGTAAGGGGTCACCTGCTCGACCACGTGGGTTTTCCCCGGGTACTCCAGTTTCCTCCCACAATAAGACCCCTCATGCGCTTAAATCCGGGCCAACAAGAGTGATTAATATAAGTTGACATAACTTGTTTCGCAATTGTTTTAAAATAAATAAAGTTTATATTATTCATTATATTTGTAAGTGGATGATGAAGTATTTATTTACTTCAAATATTTAAACACTGTGACTTTAAACATAGAACATCATTCGGGCCTGGAGAAGCTAGTGTTTCCTATGGTTCCTACACTAGACATATTTGTGAAAAAGTCTAATATTTGGTGTAAGATGTGAAACTATACATTTATATTTAAAATATATTTAAATGTGCAGAAATATCTGTTAGACATATCAACTATTTACTGTAATGATCACAGGCTGAATCGTATGCCTCAGATTAAATGAAAAATTTCCCAGCAGATTTAATAACACAGAATTGAAACGAATATTAAACATAATATATTGGTATATATATCAAAACCTATATCTCTGATGTACCATGTTAAAAATCTCAAGTATCTATTTATTAACATTGAGAGTGACATCACTCATTTTATTTATGTGTTTATCACAAACTTTTGTGGTTCATTTTATTAATACAGGTGTTTTAGTTTTAGTTGTCCCTTAACGTTAATTAGTACCCGAACCTAGTCAAAACTGTCACTTCGTGTGATTTTGTTCCATTCCTAGGAATATGGCAGAGCAATTCAGTGTATCATCAGTTTCCAAATCATGATTTGTGACCCTGTCCATGTCAGCAAATTGCAAGAATTGAAAGATGCAATATCCGCGCATATTTCGTAAATTTGTGGCAAAATTGATAGACAAATGTTTCCCAAAATTTTAAATGGACTAAACACTGTTCTTGTTGATTCTTAATGCAATCATTTTATCATTTGAAAAATGGACAAAAAATGGTGAAAATTTCAACGAGAACTCAGTGGTTGCAACCATGTATGTAATCTACAATGTATGCCTCTCTCCAACGTAAGATAACAAAACATGGTTATGATTTCATTTAAAGTATTATTTTCAAGACAAAAGTCAGACTTAATCTGAAAAGAAGTCAGATCGCATTGGTAATTTCGATTTTGAGATGATAAATATTTTTTTTTTGTAGTCTAGGCTTAGGCTGTGAGTCACTATTGCAGTAATGAACATGCAGCTTTCTGATTGGACAAGTGTAAGATATTTTAGGAATGAAAATTTAAGAAAGAGAGAAGTATTTCCAAAATTTCTCCCTAGATGGTGTCATGACTCAAATGATATACATGTAGTAGAGGTAACAGTCATTTGTGTCAAAAATCTCACCAAACATTTTTTAAATCTGCTACAATCTTCCCCAAAAAAACCCATTTTTATTTCAATTCTAATATATTCTACTGAAATAAAATAAACATTTCAATACTGTTATTATACAAGGAAACTTTCTTCTTATAATTTCTGCAAAGAATCAAAGCTGTTATTCATGAAGAAATTCTCTAGCAGGAATCACTACCAGTAGTTAAAAGTCTAGATCAATTAAAACATGTACAACAGTACTTCTCTTACTTCTACCTTAATACTAGTGATCCAGGACGCTAATTTTACTCACAGGTGCAAGATATGAGGTAATTACAATTTATCATAAAGTTTTCAAAGCTGAAAAGTATACTTTGTAAAATTATGGAGAATACCATTAAATGAAAAATCACTCCAGTAAAAAATGATGGTAGAAGGTCTGAATCAAGGATCTACTTACATATTGAAGTCTCTGTGTATCTCTCATGATCTTCATCCCAATATTTGTGTTCTGGAAATAATCGATCGCTGTGGAATTTGGCACAAAAAATGTAAAAGTACACCCGTTACATGTACCCATGTCATACTGCGAGTTCTGGCTACCGGGATTCAGATTGTTGGCCTGTTGACTGTAGGGGTTGTATGTCGTCTGTTGGTAATTGTTTCCGTAGTTGTTGTTTCCGTAGTTGTTGTTTCCGTAGTTGTTGTTTCCGTAGTTATTGTTGCCATAATTATTATTGCCATATGAGCTGCTTATGTAATCGTAACCTGGAGGGTAGCCGTACATCTCAAAGTAACAACGTCTGGCCGTAAAGCGATTATCTGTTAAATAGCTTTTCATGCCTACTGAACGGATGTAATCGTAAGTTCTCCTGTAAGATAGAAATTTCATTCATGTTTAAAATAATTGATAATTTTTATCATTGATACATTACAGTAACATATATAAGTGGACTGGAAATCAAGATATTAATAGCCTATATCATACATTTATACCAGACTTCAGTAAATATTTGCATTTTTATAAAGCATATTTGACTATTTCTAACATCTTCAATATAAAATATTTTCAAGAACATCATTAGGAAAAAAACAGTATAGATGCACAGATGCTAGTTGATATCTGCTTACTACACAAAGGCAACCATTATACGAAACGACCTTCTCTTACAGAACGAGGCCTGGGACTACAAAGAGACCGACAACTTCTATATTTATAGGACCATATATATCTCACTGGAAAGAAACTGTTATTAGTACTTACAGTAACCACAAATCATCACATATCAACATGGGCATGTCCAAATAAGGAATTCCTAAAATAGAGTCGATGAGATGGACTCTTCCGTTAGTTGCTTTCAAATCGGGGCGGACCACACGTGCCTTGACATAGCCTCCTTGTACCCAGCTCTCTGTCAAAAAAATAGACTGTTAACCAGAAATATCTTCCTTAAACAAGAAACGTATTATCAGAGAAATACACATTGAGACAACAGCGTTATTGGGGTAAAGTGACATGTTCAATACAGAACAGGACACTCTGCAATCTTGCTTCCCAAGAAATGACACAAGTAAAGGTCAAACAACATATTTCACATCTTCAACTGAAGCTGAATTAGAGTGATATGATTCAGAGTGGGAGAAACATCACCTTATTCATATAACAGACACTATGTATAAACCATACCATTTCTGTCATTGTATACTGTGACATTCCAGCCGTGGTATAAAGTCTGTCGGTACTGGCGACTTTCATAACCTCCAATGATAGCCGAGATCTCTATATCCTGGAATGCTTTTAAGATGTGGAATCGAATCATCTACAATGAACAAGGAAAGTATATCAGAAAAGAGGCCCAAAGGGTCTGTAATATTATGTAATTGCAAATGTTTCCAATAACAGTTTTATTTAAAATACAAGTAGATATTTATATAGAAATTTATTATGGAGAAGTGATTTTTATTATTTGCACACAATCTAGTCTTCAGTACTTGTAAACAAACAGAAAATTAACAGATATTGATGTCAAACACATCTTTATCAAACAAGCCAACATGTCTGGTGAAAAGCCCAACTCCTTTTGAGTCACAGGTTCAATGTTGGACTCTTAACTGACTGCAGGATCAATACTTTATACAAAGGAAAATCATGTTTGAATTCTCAAATAAGATACCAGTATACCTGTACTACAGGACGAAGAACAAATGAACAAAACTCTCGACATTAATTTTGTGTAAAGTACATCCTCTTTATCCTCAGCAGTAATATTTATCCTATACATGACCTTGACTTTACCTTGTCCACTTGTGCAAGGTCGGAGATCACATTGACACCAGGTACTCCCTGTATTTTGGTGAAAGCATCGCCGACAGGAACAAAGACATTGACACCCGAGGCTTGTACAAGAGCATCTCTTGTGTCTGGCTGGGCCTTGTTGAGATATTGGTCAAAGTTACTGTAAAAGAATTCAGAGGTCAAATATTGAAACACTGCTCGAAAATCTGGTCTTAAAGCAAGGTTCAAAGTTCAGGTATCAAAACAAATGTTCAAAGGTCAGGTCTCAAAATAAATGTTCAGAAGTCTGGTATTAAAACAAGGTTCAAAGGTCAGGTATCAAAACAAATGTTCAGAAGTCTGGTATTAAAACAAGGTTCAAAGGTCAGGTATCAAAACACAGTTCAGAGGTCTGGTATTAAAACAAGGTTCAAAGGTCAGGTATCAAAACAAATGTTCAGAAGTCTGGTATTAAAACAAGGTTCAAAGGTCAGGTATCAAAACACAGTTCAGAGGTCTGGTATTAAAACAAGGTTCAAAGGTCAGGTATCAAAACAAATGTTCAGAAGTCTGGTATTAAAACAAGGTTCAAAGGTCAGGTATCAAAACACAGTTCAGAGGTCTGGTATTAAAACAAGGTTCAAAGGTCAGGTATCAAAACAAATGTTCAGAAGTCTGGTATTAAAACAAGGTTCAAAGGTCAGGTATCAAAACACAGTTCAGAGGTCTGGTATTAAATCAAGGTTCAAAGGTCAGGAATCAAAACACAGTTCAGAGGTCTGGTATTAAAACAAGGTTCAAAGGTCAGGAATCAAAACACAGTTCAGAGGTCTGGTATTAAAACAAGGTTCAAAGGTCAGGTATCAAAACAAATGTTCAGCGACCATGTATAAATCATTTCAAATCTCAAATGTTTGTTTGAAGAGTTCAGAGGTCACACATGGAATATTTAGACAAAGTTTAAAGGTCATCTATAAAGACATTGCAATAGGAAATCAGGTTTAATATATGTATAAGAGCTAGAGTTTCAGTAGCAATAAGCCAGGTAGCAGAGTTGATAGATCAAATATAAAGACCCTGATAAAATCAGTTGATTTTGTTAAAAATTAAAGGTGATTAATAATATCACTCTGCTGATGATATGGTCAGAAAACTGTCAAAGAATATTTATGATATTATACTTATGGTAGACAGTAGTAAAAATGTCACAGACCGAAGGTCAAAGGCCAAGTATACAGGCCAAAGGTCAGAAAAGGAAAAGGTCAAAAACATCATATAAATAATACTTACGGTGACTCCTGAGTGATTGTTTCACGAACAGAGTGGTACACATAACCAAGCATACGATCAACAATATGGACAACTCCATTAAATACTGTGATATTTCCTCGCACTATGGAAGCATCCACTCCTTCACTGTTTACATAGACTGTAACAATCAAAATACAAATATTTTGTTAAACATCACACCAAATTACCCTAGTTTAAACATTTGGTCAGTTCGAACAATACCGAGGGTTTACTGTAATTCATTGTAAATGTAACAGAAATCATCGTAATATATACCAACTATTCACAAGGAAAATTGTAATCTGTACAAATAACAGCACTTTATCACAAGAGTGCAGTGGACACAATATACACCGCCACAAAATATAAAGATCGCTTTTAACATGTCCGTATCATAAATAATACAAAAATCAATGAACCGTAAAATCGCCCCTTCATGAACATCAAACTATTGCATTAGTGACATCGAACAAGTTTCATGAAAATCTGATCATTAGTTTAGGAGGAGTTGCGTTAACAAAGCTCCATTAAGAGAAAGCTACTGATACAAAGTTGAAAATGGCATAAATCTTACAAAAATCAACATATAAACAGGGGACCTTATAGGACTTTCCATTAAAGGCTAAATCTTAAATATTTTGACAAGTTTTATGAATCACACACACTGCATTATTTTTATCGTATGATCAATTTTTTTATCAAATCTGAATGACAGCTGACATTTCTATGTTAAACTTGGAGTCAAGTTGATTCTATATCTAAGGTCTTTGTTGTAACATGATAATACCACCTCTGACTGTGTTATATCATTTGATGATCTTTAGTAAACTACATTGTATATTACAAAGATGTAAACAGCGAAACTGTGACACAAATATATCCACTAAATAACCAGGCAATTGAGTTAATTTTGTGATTAAATCATCTTAAGGAACACAATAATGATTGCTATTTCAGCACATTATCTAGTGTAGTGGAATTTGTTATAATTCCAAGCTTTTTTCCACTACTTCAGGATGGAGCATATTTCCTTAGTTGCGAGAAGATAGGTGAAGGGATTTCTCAGGAGTAAATTACAAATTTTTGGAATAAGGCTTCATTAAATTCATAAAGTTATTTTAATTCAGAATGGGACTCATAAACGCACAACAAAGCCCTGCAATTGGAACATATAATTAATTTCGCTACACGCTGATGGGTGAAATTCTGAGAATAACTACAGCCAAAGGCATCTTCCAATATTATACAATATCATACAATATTATACAATATTATACAATATTATACAATATCATACAATATTATACAATATTATACAATATTATACAATAATGAAATGTCTAAGAAAAATAATTCACTATGAACCAGCTTCAAAAGGTTAAATAGGTGGAATACTTTTATTCTTGCCGACCGGTTTCGCCAGTTCGCTCGATGTTTTAATATGATATTATTAAGTGACTCCCTGCATACCTTTCGGTATCCATCCTCCAGTGATCTACCAACCTGAGGATCCTATCTTACTTACTGGACCAGCGTTGGCTCCTTCCCCCCCATTCAATCATGTATGAGTGACTTACACAAAGTTATCTCATTCTGAAATGTTTATTACTCAGCAAAGTTAACGTTTCAACATACCACGTTCACGTAGTGAAATCTCTGTCCACATCACACACAGGTGAAAGATATTGATTATTTCCACAAGACTGCAACACTAACTGGGGAAGAATAATTAACAAAGAAAACATACCTTGGTATCCATAAGGGCGTCGGAATCGGACTAAACGATTGAGTCGGTTGTTAAAGCCTTCATTATGGTTGATATATGGCGTAAACACTACTCTGTCGGGAATGATATGGGCCTTAACGATCTATCAAAACAAAACAAAGTCTCCTTGTGTACAACATACATATCACATCTGGACCACAATTTGTTAGAAAATATGTGAAATGAATTTCAAAATCAAAGATTTCAATAATTGCAGTAAATTATCCTTAGTTAGAACATCGATATCAGAAATAACAAAGAAAATGCTGACATGTCAACAGAATCTTACTTAAAATCCAATCAAATGGAACGGCTCATTGCCCAGTGATCTCAAGAGCAAAGCTGATTACTGTCACTACAGGTGTTGATATCATAGTCTGCTGGTCCACACTCTATTTCTGACCTCTCTGGTTAGGCCAGTATTCAGAAGTGATTTTCAGTAGATTTCAATCATTTCGGACATGAAATCAGTTCAATATTCAGAATTGAAATGGATCAGTATTGGGAAGGTTTTAATTACTATAATAAAGAAGTCATTCCGTACATAACCATTTGATTTGGCTTCAAGAGGTGATCAGTTTTCAGAAGAATAATTTTGGGTATTTCTCAAATTGATCATTATGATAGCCCTAAAACTCCTCAAAAATACTCATCATTATTTTTACTTTTATATCAGGAAGGAAACACAAGGTTTGCTTCTTTCCTGTATTGAATTTAATATATAAACACTTAGGACATTTGGAGGCAAATGCAGTCTCCTTGTTGCAGGAATTGGCTACCTCAATGAACACCATATAGGAAGTTTTCGAAGGTTAAGTGTCTTGTTCAAAATCAAAACTACTACAACACAAAGTAGTTATGAACATCCTCCTGACAGACATCAACTGTCCCGAGTGGGGATTCTATCCAACCTACACATTGCAGATTATCACCAGTGATTAACGCTGTACCGCGTGTGTGGTGGCAGCTTCCCTGTTAAAGCATGAAGACATAAACAGTACCTACCTGGTCCAATACTCTCGGGTTCTGTTGAAGGTAACTAAGCTTGGAAGAAGGTATTTTTTCCATGGCTTTGTTATTTGGGACAAAAAATGTGACTTTCTTGTTGCGGTCTGAGAGATATGACAGTGTGCTATAGTACCCATCCTGTAGATATCTTGATATCAGATCATAAAAATCGCTGCAACATAAACAAAAATTGTTATATACAAAAGCTGTTTAAGTCTGTCAAAGCATTTTCAGATATATAAAGAATCCTGCATTCATTTCGATTTCATCTGAGTTTTATTAAGCAAGTATTAAAATTTCTTAATTCAGCAAGCCTTCGGAGAAATAAAATGAAAAATTCCTGACAAATTTCGTTTATCTGTTCTAAAACTTTTGCAAACATTCATAATAACAATATTTCATCAAACTGATATAATGCTTAAATTCACAATATACAGTTTTCATGTGTGCCTGAGCAAAGTCTGTGTCAGTAAAATAAGTCAGAAAGGAGGTAAGTCTATGTTTGTTTAAAGGGAGGTAAGTGTGTAAGTCTGGCTATAAGGGAGGTAAGTCTGTATGTCTGTCTGGCTGAAAGGGAGGTAAGTCTGTATGTCTAAATAAAAGAGTCTGTATAGCTTAAAACCACAGTTTCATTTCTGGGTCATTGTACACGAATGTTGTGAAGAATGAAATTATAGGTCATTTAGTAAATATTTCTTCTAGACTTTATAACAGATATGCAATTATTCTATACCCAGAATTGATGCACAATATCTACTGAAATTTTATTCTGACATCATTTTCCTGTTTGTTGGTGTGTCAGGATACAAATTGTGATGAGGCTTCAGTAGTGATATTTTGCAATTTTGGGTATTTCCCTCTAATTCTGAGGGGAAGTGACATTTGTTTTTAAATATTTTTCTTAAATGCAGGTAACAAGGTACATTCCAGCTAAGTGTATTGAATAGTTCTACAACCCAGATCCTTCTGCAAAATTTTATAACATTTTGATTTTTGTTTTCTTTTGGTAAAACATATAAATAAATGAACTGTAGTCTGAGGCCTATATGTCTGTCTAAAGGGAGATAAGTGTGTATGTCTGAATAAAGGGAGGTTACCCTGCTGTATATCTTAAGTGAATTAACATTGTATTGTTTAAACAAAGAGAGGTAAGTCTGTACCTTGTGTTTATAGATGAATCATCAGGATCAGAAATGTAACCATACGCCATCTTTATACTCGAGATACCAATGTAGCGTGACAGACCATGAACCACGCCGTTAGAGCCGACCAGATCCTTCTGATCATTAGAAATTTCTGCTCCATTTACAAAGTAAACTGTTGGGCCAAAATATGTATTCTGAAATAAACAAATGGATCAATACAAATTCTGACATAAATTCTTTTCACGTCATTTGAATGGTTTTTTTTGTGTAACATTAAGTTGGTAATGGTAATATAGAAATTTTCTGACTTCTTTTGTTTAATGAAAATCTATCCACATAAATAAACCCCAATTTTGTGTGACTAAATAAAATATATGGTTATTTTGACAAGTTTTTCACACAATCCTAAAAATACCTGGTCCCATTACTTTAACTGACCTTATTTTTGTGTGCAGAAATATATTGAACATTTACAAGGATCATTAGTAGGCAATAACAAAGGATTTCCTGCAATATACCAACCAAAGAATGACTTTACTTATTACGAGAATTATTCTTTATTTGCATTTCTTACGCCATTTTCTGTGTGACCTACCGAGAATGATGATGTACGCTGACGGCGGTTGATGAAGATCCTTTCCCCGTTGTCTGACATACTCTGGTATACTTGATTATCCTGCATATTCCCTGTGTTCAGCATATTGTTTATCACTGTAACGAGACAAAATGGATTATCTCCCTTTAGATTTTTCTGTTTTCTATAAGATATTCTATTTTTATTTAATATTTCAGGAAAGACACTCAGACATTGAACTCAGGATATTATTTTCATATAACTGCATTTATGGTTGTTACTGTTGACAGAGCTTTGTCATTTATATAGACGATAAATGCCATATCCAGACATTCTAATGCTTATATTTATATTTGAAAGTGGAACAAACATCTTCATGAGTTATCATAATTCCCAAGGAAGTCATCAAAATGGTGTTTCCAGTAATCAACATACATGTATTATAATGTAGCCAAACCAATTCTAATATATTTCTCTATCAAGTTTGCTTCTAATTTCTGCCAGAAGTAAAAAAATATCAACTGTAAAAATAAGATAACTTCAAACTTACAAGTGTGAAATTTGACAAATTGTTGAAGTTCTGGTGACCTGGCAGGCAAGTTTCTAATTCTGTTATATGCATCATTAGGTGCATTATCAAAAGCTGTGTTGTTTGGGGCAAACACTGTGAATTGGCCGTTGGAATTATACAAGTCTGTCAGTCCAGCCCGTGTTACCAGCTCTGCGAACTATAAATAGAAACCAAAAATATTTCATGAACGAAGTATTGTAAGCATAAACGTCTTCTATATTATCGCCAATTTCAGATCTAAAATCAACACCAAGTGGTTGACATGATGTCATCATGTTTTTCTATTAATCTAATAACAATTTTTTCTGCATCTTGGAGATCGTAATTCACCCAAACATTAATGACAACATGAGATACATTGTTTCTATTAATTTAATTCAATTTCTCAGTTTTAATGTCCACTATTACAGCCTTTTGACCTTTCAGCAGATGATTGTGTCTGTGTCTAATGTCTTATAGGCTTCATGGTAGAGTATACTCTACCACACACAGGACCCCTCCCTTACTGAACTAATCCACCAATAGGGACAGGGCTTTGTTATGCATTATATAATTGGCTAACTGTTATCAAGGTCTTTTCAGCTGGGCATAGACAGTCCCTTGACACATCATGTGTCTAATATTTCTCTGCCTGTTGATTTTCAAAATATAAAATGTTCAACATTTTGGATAAACGTTATGTATCACTACCTGTTGGAAAAATCCTATAAAGGTGTCAATGTTGAAATGAATTACCTGGTACACAGTTTTCACAAATTCATAACAGATATTATTTACCAAACTTTTAGAAATACTTAAACTTGTCCACACTAAATCACTCAACTTCAATAATTATTGTGTGAAAATGTCTCTATCATGATACATGCATTGATTTTTGAGAATACGATATTTGAGTCCTTGACTCATGATTTTTCTGTGAGATTCACTCCAGCTTTGAGTGAACACTATATCTCCTTGTATTTTTGGATTGGGTGTTTTTAAGACTTGCTTCAAAAAAAATACAAAATTCCTCACCATGTACATGCATGTTTATTGGTTATTAACACTATTGGGTTATTTATCATCTACTCTAGTGTCTGTTGTTGATATACAGGCATTAGTCACCTCAACATTTATTGTTTTATTACCATACATTTCCCAGGGGGTCAAATGGAACATATCATTAAGTTAGAGAGGTCTTTGATAAACAACCATAAAACCCCTCCTGTAAATAGTCAAATCCATATGTTGAATATTACAAATAGGTATATATAAGCGTACATGTATATGTAACAGAGGAGTAATATCTAAAGATTGACAGCGTGCAGGCAAAAGTTTTCATCAAATAGACACTGACAGTGTGCAGGCAAAATTTATCATCAAATAGACACTGACAGTGTGCAGGCAAAAGTTTTCATCAAATAGACACTGACAGTGTGCAGACAAAATTTATCATCAAATAGACACTGACAGTGTGCAGGCAAAATTTATCATCAAATAGACACTGACAGTGTGCAGGCAAAATTTATCATCAAATAGACACTGACAGTGTGCAGGCAAAATTTATCATCAAATAGACACTGACAGTGTGCAGACAAAATTTATCATCAAATAGACACTGACAGTGTGCAGACAAAATTTATCATCAAATATACACTGACAGAGTGCAGGTAAAATTTGTTGTCAAAAAGACACTGACAGTGTTGTGTTATTTGAGAAGCTGAAATCCTACAAATGTGATATAAATACCATTACATGCTTTGATTCATATATCAATGACAGGTCACAAAAAGTAATTATTGCAACGAATATATTAACTAACATGAAAATTACCCATGGCCTACATGTACATCAAGGATAAATTTTGAGCCCCTTGATGTTTTTATTTTTCATCAATGATTTGCTATTACACCTTAAATCTGAAACAGATATGTATGCTGATGACTTTACTTTGACGAACTGATGATCAGCTGTATCTGATAAACAGGGTAGACTACACAAAGACCTTGAAAATGTGGAT